AACCTGTCTGCTATGGCCGAGGCCAACACTAGTGGTCAGGGCTAACCATTAAACCGCACAATTCCTGGTTCCCCTGCTCTTACAAGGTTCGTTTCAATCCTGATACCTACATCTACCGTTCTTCCGGCCTTTTTACTGATCCCTTCCAAACTTCCAAACCAGTTAGCCCAGATAGATTGGTATACCTAGGCTTTATGTGCCCTATGGTTCCCTTCCTTTGGTTTCTAATTCCATAGCATAGAACCTTTTCCTCCGGTACGACTCCGGTGGCCAGGTTGGTGAACCCCTCTTGCCCCGGGGTTATTGTGTCCAGTTCTTCAGTTTCCGGTTTCTGGGATTCTGGTTCTGCAGTATCGTCGAAGATCTTCACTACCTCCTTGCTCAGGTCTTGCCAAATGGGTTTCAATTATTCCGGTTCCTTGGCTTTGTACTTCGCCCGAAAGCTCCCATTCAAGATGGTGGTACCAAGACTATAGGTGATATACCCAACCGATCTTCGAATAATTGTTACCGAAACAGATCTTAATTTTCAAAATCGTCGCCAGTGGGATTTGAACCCTAGACTTGCTATTTGGGGGGGTAACAACTTGCCAACTGCACTATGTCGCCACACCCTTCAATTTTTTTTTTATTTAGGCATTGGGTTAAAACGAGGGCAATTTTATGAGATTTGTGAAACTGCAGCAAGTATATGGCAAGATTTAGGTTATAATGAGGCATCATGTGAAGATCTACTGACTGAACTTCGTGCTTACAAACGCAAAGAAAAACCATATGCTTAACCATTCAAAAAAGAAAAAGAATCTCCATTAAAATGGTGGTTTAGCATCGATGCTCAGAAAGAGCCATTATCTGAACTTGCAATTAAAATATTTTCTATTCCGCCATCACAAGTAGTATGTGAAAGAAATTTTTCCACTCTTAAATGACTACTTGGAGATCGAAGAATAAGGCTTAACATATTTTGGTTAGAAGCGATAGCTAAAATTAGAGCCTTTTGTAATATTAATATTAAAGAGAAATTATCATTTTATGGTAAAGAATTGTCTGAATTTGATTTGAAAGATAGTGTAAATAGTTCAACCGTTAATGCAAGCCAATTAGAATTTACCGAACAGCAATTTGATAATGAATTATCTGATTTGTTCAATCCTATTTCTGAATCCAATCATATATAACTAGATGAAATAAATGACGATGATTTGTTAATTGAAGAAATTATCGATCTTTCAAACCCGGCTTTTATTGGTAATAATGATTCATTTATTGAAGAACAAAGCAAGGTCTCAAATAATATAGCTCGATGGTCAGCTTCGGGAAACCATGATTATAATCCAGCAAGATTAGTAGCACAAATATTTAATGAGAAAGAATAATTCTTTAATAGACTTTGCATATGTTTTTATTGCATATACTGTACGATGCAAATAAAAATATAATATGTACGTATAAATTATATATAGCATATCACAAATATAGCATATTATGAGTTACATATATAAAATCGTGTTGCACTGCATAAAATAGTTACGGTATGATCATAATAATACGGTACATACAAATCTTGCGACATGCCGTGACTTAAAACAAAATGCCACAGCAAGTTATAACTTAGTTACGATGCAGCTTATCCCAATGCTCTGAGATTCTACGACATCCCTACTTTACACGAAAAAAAAATCTCATGTTCAAACACATACACGAGTATTTTAATAGAAAATCTGCTAAATGGACTATTATTAAATTTTTAAATGAATGCGAAGAGGAAACATTTAGAAAGAAAATAGATTCATATCTTAAGTTACTTCAAAACATTGTTGACTTAGACCCTGAAAGAAAAAGGAAAGAAAGGGCACGCGAACTTCTTGACGCGTACAAGGAGGCAAGTAAAGAATTTTTGTTGAAATGTAAATAGGAAATAAGTGGCATGGCCGGAATTCTTCTCCCTTCTTGCCATTCAAAACTTTTCATTGAGCCACAAAACTGGTGCTAGGACACAGAGGATTCTTCTCGCTCACTTGTGTTCAAGACTTTTTGCCGACCTAGCATTGGTCCTATTAGGGCACAGGGGACTCTTCTCGCTCGCCTGTGTTCAAGTCTTTTCATCGACCTGATGAGATGAAAACTAAATAGAAATTTTAGACATACTAATTGAGAATATTACTAATTCAAATCTTTTATGTTAGAGACCCTATTATGATTATCATGTAGCATGAGAATGGGAGAAGGAGCATAAAACTGTCAGTAGACCTTCAATCCACTTCCACCAAATTACAGATAGTTCGGTAGTTAGGATCAATAGTGGATCTCTCTACGTTAATAGATCAAAAAGAAACCACGAAAAGGTATATATATTACTTGCATTTTTTAGTCATAAGTTGGGAATCAGCAGAACTAACTATTTTGTATTTCAATACTTTAGGATGATTTTAAAAACCCGATCGAGCAAATTACAAAAAAAGAATGTCAAACTAAGAGCGGAAGGAAAATTCCGAACTATCATGAACTAACCTCCAGTTCATCTGAAGGAGATGATAATGTAAGTTTGTGTTATTTTCAATATTATTTTTCATTACTGACCTTATATTTATGTAGAATTTGATTGACAATTTCTTTCAGGCAAGTTTCGATTATGAACAGCCGATCATTGAAAAAAAAACATCAGCAATCCATTCAACAAAAAGGGTGGGGCTGAGTGGCTCTTTATATATTATTAATTTCTTCAAGCAACAAATAACTTATTGACATTTTTTTCTTTTCTGCCTTATGATTTAGGTCAAATCAAGTGGTCAAACTGAATCCGAAAAATATCAAGTTCTTGATGATTCCGAAACCTTCTTTAATGAAGATTACACTGATGATGAGTTTAATACTTCACCCATTGAGGCTGATTTGAAGAAATTCAAAGAAACTTACTTAACCATGGACCCTGATTATATGTGGACACTGAAAACTGGTCGCAAAGTGGAAACAGTCATTTATGAATTTGCTAAAAGCTTACACAGAGAGTCATATCTTCATTCTTTTATAATCAATGATGCCGATGTCGAAACAAAATCATTATTTTTACCCGAAGAATGGAAAGAAATTAAAAATCTCGAAGTTATAGATAGACCGAAACTTGACCCTTGTCACAAGGAGTTGTTAAGAAAATACACTGTTAATGATATTAAAAAATTAAGATCACTTCTTTTTGAATTATTTATACCTGATGGTAAAGAATATAATCGGAATATTCACTTCTGTCTTGATTATATAAATAATGCATATCGTGGAATTTTACGTTTATGGGAAATGGATGAAAATCCTTTTGACTCCTTAAAGCTAGAAGGATGGTTCGAAATGAACGTCTGGGGCCGACTTATAGATCCCGCATTCGATAATTTAAATATTGACTTAATTCGTGGAGATGGAATGAGCTTCGCTTCTAGTGAAAGAAAGAACATTCAAAGAAAAATTAATGATCACAAAAAATTTGGCAGAAAAGGTGATGGTGTATTTAGATTACACAAAGGTCGTTTAGAATTCGGTGCAATTGAAGCTGGCAGGAATTGGGAAGAGATAAATGGTACGAAATATATGTCCGATTCACTTAAAATATCTAAGATGTTAAAGGATATGCTAGATAAATTAATTAGAGAATGTAAAATCTAGTAAAAAAACTAAAAGTAATAGGAATACTCCACGGTGCAAACAGGTTGCAAGTCTTAACTATAGATCATCCTGAAGGATACATCACTCGAATTAATCGTAATAATGTTCAAGAAGTTGCCGGTAGATTAACAAACTCCAAACCACTTGCTCTGGTATTAAAGAGGTTTTATATGCACGATCTATTACCATTGCAACAATGGATGTAATTGATAAGAAAGATGATTTAAAGATCGAAACCTTTCTTGATGATAGTGATGATGGATATCACACACCCCCCACCAATATTACGACGAACACATTTACAACACCAAATAAATCACGTACAAAGGATATGATTAATGAGATAAAAAATAGTGTTAAAATAACAATACCACGTTATGATCGGCAATTATTTTGATTTCGATTTCAATTTAAATAGTATGAATGAAAATTTTTTAATACTTAATGCGTAATAAAGGCTAATAATGTTTTGTCAACTCGTTATGCCTAGCTTTATTTTTGTAAATAATTGGGTGGCAAAATGATAAGCACCATAGAGTGACCTCGGTTTGCAAATGACTCAATGACTCATGATCCGCGAATTATTATCTGATCACATAGCAATCACGAGTTAAGCATTACTATGCAAAATTCGCGTGCTATGGTTAAGTTATCCTCAGGGTTTTTATTATTATTCGATATTATTCTGCAATAGATATGGTATAATTATGATCGTGACATTTTGTCACGGTTTTTATCTATTTTAATGAACGAATTTGAATAATTCGTATTTTTGATATAAAAAAGAAACAGGCCTATAAATATTTTAGCCATGCTAGCTTATTCAACCCAAATAATAATTGTAAAAGCATAGGTTAATAAGGAAACTAGGTATGACTTTATTATCTCTACTAATTAATAATCGCAAATTGCATTGCAAAAATCACGTTAAAATAAAAAATTAGGAGCCCAGCGGGCCCCCCTCTTTATTTCATAAAAAATTGTTGCCGAACAACAATATAACATACAAATAAAAAATAAATAATAAATTTTTTTCTGATTATACATTAAGGATCATAATCATCCTGATCACTACAATCGGCATCACCAGTTGAATACCACATATAACTATCAAGAGAATGGTCAACCTTATCTCTATATCCGTAATAATGCAAAATTGGCTTATCGGAGATATGATCTATTTTGAATAGAAAAGAAAACTAAGTCCCTGGTGATTGTATTTACACAATATAAACTTTACTTACAAGATCTGGGACTATACGACCTAGGTACATAACCTACTGGGATTACAACCCCGGAGCGTTAGAATCATTAGTCGTGGGGGCATTGCTATCATTGGTCTTGGGGGTGTTACTATCATTAGTCATGAAGGTGGTGGTGTTATTACTCGTGGTGGTGGCGTCATTAGTCTTGGGGGTGGTGTTGGTGTCATTAGTCTTGGTGGTG